AACCCCCAAAAACCAAACAACCTCAAAATCTCAAACACAAACCCTCAAATCCAAACCCTCCCCAGGACCGTCTAAGGATTCTTGTTCAAGTGCCGGGACGCTGGGGAGGACATCTCGGAGACTGCCCTCCCAGCTCTACGTCCTTACATGCTAGTTTGCCTAAATAGGGGGCCCAACATGGACTCCAATATACAATAATCCTTGTTTGGGGGACCCTTAAACTCTGAAAAGTGCCTGTGATTTTGGGAAACCCCCACATGCAGTACGGGCCTTAATTAAGGGCTCTTGTTGAGAGTTGGGGAACTGGGGATTGGTTTTGGCTTTTTGTCAGTGGGAGAGGATTGGTCATTCGATGTCTTGGGTGTATGAGGGGAGTTTTGCGCTTGAAGTTGTTGGGCTGGAGGTCGTTGCATATGCAACGCAGAAAGGTGGTTTTACGCGACTGAGACACCAGATAAGTATGCAGCTATTGAACATCTTAGTCAAGCTCTTCAGGAGGAGGAGTATGGGATAATCGGGCTCTTGGTTCCAGATGCGATGAACCTGATAACCTTTACTGACTGCTCACCCTCAAACTAACAGAAGAACCCAGAAGGAGGCCTGCATACATTACCGTCTTGCGAACATTCAAGCCTCTATGGGACTCCGTGTTGTTTCGGTGCCCTAAACTCTGAACTCGCAACCCTGCACGCCAAGCCCCTAAGCCCGAAACCCCGAACTGTAAACTCGAGACGTGTGTAAACTCTATGTTGTTGCATAGTCTCAGGTCGAGGGCAAAGAGCGTCTGGGAGTTTTTGAGGAGCTGGAAGTCATGTCGACCCAGTGTGTAATTTTCGGTATCCCTCAGCTCCCCTGTCAGGCCCCGTTCTAGGAGACATCTGCGCCAGGTTAACATCCAACCTACGTGGCTCACATTTTCAAGCTGAAGCTAAGGCTCAGAGCCCTGCCGCGCAGGTCTGGGCTCAGGGGGCGTAAGGCGGAAACATTTAGGGCTTACTGGTTTCTAGAGCTCAAAGTCTTAGAGTGTGAGTGAGCGTTTGGCGGTTCAAGCGTCCTTTGAAAAGTCCCCAGGATTCCAAAAGGCTAAAGACCGGTCCCTACTCAGGGCCCATGGTTCAGCCTTAGTCTGAGCCTAAACCCCTTCACCTCCAAATCCTTCAGCCCTAGAAACACCTGATCCCCAAAACTCAAATATTGCCCCAAACCCCAAACCTCAAACCCCGAACCCCAAAACCCTGTAACCGAAACCTTGAATTTAATTTACCTCAAATTACCGAAAACCCTACGTGCCCATCACCTATCTAAAGCTCCTAAAGCCCCCGATCCGAGAGCGGGGTGCTTTTCTCGTGGCTCAAACGGCGGCCGCCCAGTAGCGCGCCCGCCGGACGAAGTGCTCCCACATCTGGAGGGTTCCCCAACGCTAGAGTTTATGGTCTGGGTTTGGAGTTTAGGGATTTGGGGATTAGGGTTTGGCGGTTACGGTTTGAACAGCATCTGGGATTGAGGCTGTCGGGGTTTTGGGTTCAGCATTTCGGGATTTTGGGATTTTGCGCTTCCAACAAAAGGTGGGAAGGGATCGTCTCGAATCAGGAGTAGGCATCCCTTTGAAGTTGTTGCATGGGTAGTAAACGGATCTCTAGGACACTTTATTTCTGTTTCCAACAATTATTCGTTCAGTTTTGTGGATTGGGTTCTATTGGTGGTGTGAGCCCTAATTCTGGAAACACTGAATCTTAAGCTTTCCTCCAGCGTTTCACAAGGGGTGTATGTGGGGTTCCGCATTTAGGGCTTAGGATATGTAAGCCCCTCTATCTCATAATAGAGAATCAAATGGAAGATGAAGTAGCCTGATAGTGTACAGGGGCTACAGTATCTAGGGATTGCCTTCCCCAAACATATACCTATCACAACCCAAGAAAGGAACATCTCCCGAAGACATAGTATTCTGGTTTTAGGTCTTGGATTGAAAGCTGGGCGGCTTCAAGGTGGGCAAAAGAGAAGCTGCGTAGGAGCATCTACGTAACATCTTCTCAGGGCTGCGTGGGAGTAGGAATTTCGGACATAGAGGGGATTCAGGTTGGCGGTCAAGGTCTCGGGCAAGCGTTCATGGGCTCCAGCCTAGGACCTTAGCCAACAAGATTGCCCTTGAGGATGGTTCAGACCACAATAATTACCGTAAGGGTTTTGTGTTCCCCTGTAGGGTTTAAGATTGCAGGAATACTTGGATGGACTGTCAATTAGCCAGACAACAGGACCGTACTGGGGCACACAGGGTTGGATTTCGTTGATCTTTCCAGTTGGAAGTTGAATGGCTCAAAAAAACGTCACTCAGAGGGTTTCAAGGCTTGGGTTACTTAGGAAACAAGTTCAGGTTTTTTTCGAATTGCGTTATATGCTAGGCCTGATACTCAGGGCCCCTATACGCGTTAAATATATACTCCTGGCCAAGGTGGGTATTGGGCTGGGCGGGTTTTCGGGCACCAAAAAGGCCTTCAAGGTTTAGGGTGCGTGGATGTGAGTTTTGCTAGGCCTGGTAGGTAGGGTACTTTGGTTCAAGGCTTGGTGTCAGAGCTTTCACTTTTGGGGACAATCGGGGGACGGTCCTGGAACAGCCTTTGCTTTGAACCTTCGGCCCTGAGCCAAAGAAGCGCCAGAGGCGGGCATGTTAGCAAGTACCATCTTTGCCGAAAGCCCTCTGGAAGACGTAAAAACTACTCGAATTGGGGGTGTATCTTGGGGCCGTAGGGTCTGAAAAACACTACACCTCTGGCCCCACACATTCTTGGCGAGGGACTTGCAATTCCGTATCAATGAAAATGGAGTTGTTCCTCAGGTCCCAAGCAGGCAGAACATCCGGAAAAAGAAACAACATGCTTGAGGGAGCGCACAGAAAACACCATAGGAATCTTGGTATAGTTCGGATACATTCATTCCTCACGGTCAAAGGCTTCCTGTGAACTTGAGTGCTTATGGCAGGGAATTTGTTCCTCAATTGGATGATTGTGAACCCTTTCACCAACGGCTTAACTGCTCTGACCCTCCGAATTCATGTTCGGACTTATTCGAGTGGTTCATGAAGAACGGAAATTTGGGGTGATTGAAAAGCAGGTCATGTTGGACCTCCTTTATTGAAAGTGTCCCCTATAATGAGTTTTGGGGCCTGCCTATTCAGGATCAGGGCAATGATAGCAAGGCCCCCGATAATGTGCTTTGATTTTGGGGGCCTAAAAATATAGGAAGGATTCTCAACAATCCCTTTTGAATCAATCCACGGGACCTCAGAATCGTGCGAGCTCAGGGGGCCGTATTGAGGATCCCTAATTTCTATTTTTCGGAGGGCCCTAATGTTAGGGGGGGAGGCCCTACTTAGTAAAGCGGGTCCCACATTAATGTGGACTTCGGATTTCTAAAGGGGGTCGTATTACAGCTAAATCAGGCCTAAACGAAAAAACAAAAAGGGGGTCGTATTAAAGCTAAATCCGAGCTGAACGGATTAACGACAACATAGGACTGAAATAGTGCATGCTGGGCTTAAGGTCAATAAGGGTTTAGAGCATAGGGTTTAAGGTTTAAGGATTGATTAATTAAATAATCAATTAAGGCTTGGGTCTAGGGTTTAAGGTTTCAGGTTTGGGAATCAGGGTTACAGGTTCAGGGTGTTATGTTCGGGCTTTTAATTTTATTTATATAGGCTCAAGATTCGGGATTGGCCCGGGCCCGCCAAACAACTCTTCCCGACCTTGTTTGGGGGTTCCCGATTATTCAGATCCGTACTTGTTTGGGGGGGTTTTAATCAGAACCCCCCATTACAGAGCAAGGTCCGAAACACCTTACTGATTCCAAGCCAAGCTTCACCAAGCGGACGAACCAAAGCAAGAATTCGAGCACCTGCGCTTGTGGGGAGACGCTTCATCACCTCCCCAATGCCTCCCTGGCATATTCAGCCCGCCCCAGCCCCCCTGTGATTCCCAACTATTATACGGCAACATGCTTCATCTCAGCGGCATTTCGTGATTGATTGTAGCAGAGTTACTACAAAACAGGAAACTTGCGGCTCCTGGAACTCTCAAAACAGAGGGGCTCAAGGACCCGGGATATTCCTATGCAGATAACAGACCCTGCATCGAAGGTACCACCTGCTACCTACCATGACTGTTAGACGAGCAGACCTGTGACAGGGTTTCGAGGTTAGCTCAAGGGCATGGGCTCTTGCTTAGCTGCAAGTAGCTTTTTTTGACTGTACTGCTCAGTAGAATCGTGGGTATGTGGTGAGGGTGGTTAGTGCTCTATTGGGATAATTAGAGCCCTATCTATCTATCTATAAAGACATACTTGACTTTAAGCCTAGCTATTGCCTCACCCATCAAAGTCCGGAAGGGCACCTGTGCTTGCTGAAGCCCCTACACATATGCCATGCCAAACCCTAAGAAGCAAGCATGCAGAGTGGGGCTTGCTGGTGACCCCGGATGCAACCGGGCCTGTGCCTGCGTCATGGCTTGCAGGGCTATCTATCTAGATGTGAACTGGAGCAACGCGGCTGCGGGTTGCAACATGCTTTGTGTTGACAGGCTCATTTAAAAAATAGGTGGGTGAGGGTTGGTTCCGGAAAGCTTCGTTTCACGATTAAACTTGCTGAGTTTTTGGGGATTACAGCACCCCCCAAATTCAGGAGGGAGGTTGAGGAGCTGAAGGAGCAGCATGCAAGCAAGTTACATGGAACATGTTCTCACAGACATCCGTTCAAACCCATATCCCTGTGACCTCGTGAACACCAAACATGGCCTCGACAGTTGCCCGCCTGAATTGTGAAACAAAGTCCAACTCGGTTCCATGTTTGTGGAAGCCCTGAAAACACTGAAACTCATAGCCCCGAAGCCTTAGGTAGTGCAGACTGCGCGCGACCATTTGCTATACCTACATAACTCTACGGAAACGTACAAAAAGTAGGTTCATGTAATTAAGCTTTGGAGGAATGTAAACCTTCACTTCAGCTCCGTCACGACCCAGGCCGCGGAACAAAGAGCGAGCTGCTTCACGATGCTGCGCTTGCGCACAGGCCTAGAGACGGGATCCAGGGTTCTAAGGGCATTGGATTTAGGATTTTCGGGCCTCAGGGAGGTTTGGGGTCTTGAGGTTAAGGATGTGGGATTTAGGTTTTGGTTCAGGGCTGGGAATTGAATTTGAATCTGCTTTCTAAGGTCTGCAGTTTCAAATTGGGATCTTTGCTGTCGTTACAGCTTTTCGCGCCGAACTCTCAACCCTTAGCCCTGGGTCTCAAACCTCATTGAATTCATCTATAGACCCTCATGATGCTCTTCGTCGCTCTGCTGCTTGTCTGTCACTACTATGGATGGAAGCACCCTTACACCACCTTACACGTCTTTTTCCCCTCCTGTAAGCGGGCATTGTAAGGGGATTGACGGTGCCACTTCGCAGTACAGCTGCAAGAAAGTCTACAAGCCTGACTGGTGCAAGATATTGCAGGATTTCCTCCACCCACGGCAACCGCCACCAGTGTCGGGCAGCGTCCGCACGTAAGCCAATTACCAAGCAAGTCTCATACTAATATGGCAGTTTTCCACGAAGGCGGACCCGATTTTAGACCACCCCAATGTATGTTAGTCCTTGCTCCGGCCTGGGGCTCCCACAAAAGAGACCCTGATTCTTGGAAACCACCAGGCAGTTTCTCAAAGTCAGCAGGGTACCCCTTGAAAATCCTCGAGATGCATGAGGACTGATTACTGGGCCCCTGTTCGGGCGTGGGTAGGGTATTGGGTGTGTGTGATCTAGCTGTTAGGGAAACATGTTGTGACAAGCCTGTATCAGAAGATGCTCCCATTGAATGTCGACCTTCCGGGGCTTCAGGGTTCTAGCCGTGTTGTCCCCCACAAGTCAAGATACAACCTCAAAGAACCCGTTATCAATCCACCCAGACCTCCAGTGAACCGTATATGTGCTCATTACCAGCTCAGAAAGCGAAGGCTCTGAGGCTCTTTGGAGAATGTGCACACTGCGGGATTTCCGAACATGTTAAGGGTGGTGCCGGCATGAGGAATACATGCTGTTTGATTAAGGGGCACCCTTCTGCTTGAAAACGCGAAGCCCTAAAACCCTAGACTCTAGCCCTCTCAACTTCCCTTAAGCTTTCTAATCAATAAACTCCAAAGCATTATTAAAACCCTCCACCCTTCAACCGCAGACCCCTAAATCTTACTGAGCTTGCGGCCACCAACGCCGAAGCGCTGGCGTGCTGAAGGTCTATAGAAGCTCTCCTTCCAAATGGGAGTGTCCAGAAATTAGGGTTTAGGATTTAGACTTCATCCCGTTAGGCTTATATTGATTTGGGGCTAGTTAAGGGGACCCAGTGAAGGGGACCCCTAGTTCCGGAAACGTCTTTCGCGGAGTTCAGACGTGAGCCAAACTTGTAGGGTGCTTTATTCATGGTTGAAACAAATAAGATTTCACGTTCTTCTTAACAACTATAGTACCTAAACCCAACATCCTGGTGTTCTTAGGTTTCAAGGTCTGCCAAAAGACAGTAGGCCAGGAGGCCCTTCTTGCCACATCCATCCAAACCCTAAACCCTTGGCCTTCCTCGCTCAAAAACCCCTGTCTAAATCTGCAAGTACCCTATAGGGACCATGTAGGAACAATGGAAAGAACATGGAAACTACTGAGTATAACAGTTGTGGAACAGGTAGCCGACAAACTCTAAGCTGTTTCTGTTCTGGGTCCCGAACATCTATACCCTTGGCTACGGGGATCTCTGAGAAGTGGTCTTCTCCACCATTGCTGACCAAAGCTTAAGAAGGATGAATGCTTTCTCAAATGTGAAACAGGTTTATGTGCACATGATATTTCAGACAAGGCTTGACATCAATGAGAAGGATACCTCAACATAGGTGGCTCTACTCGGCAGCCGCACCGTGCTTTCTGGATGGGCAAGGTTGTTCAAATAAAGGCCCTCCCAAACTTTGCAATCGGAATGTTGTCTGCTATGCATGTAGCCCTGCGGCTCCTCATCTTACATGTCAAATTAGATTCTCTCTCTAAAGCTTTGCGGCTCATGTCTCCAACTTCGTGGCACGCATGACGTGGAAGGGGAAGCACCTTGCCCTTGGCACATCTAAGCATGCAAAGACTGGAAGGCTTGTTGGAAAAACGAGGAACCCCACTAAAGCTCGAGAACCTCGCGTGACGTTAAACCGCAGATTCCCTGAAACCCTGATCCTCAAACCTGCTTTGTGCCCAACACGATATGTGTTTCTAAACGTCCTAACCCTGAAATCCCATGACCCTGAACCTTCCAGCCCTCAAACACATAGTCACACCACTGAACAATTGTAAGGGACCCGAAATCCGAAACCTTATCTTAACCCTGAAATCCCATAGCGCCTAAACCGCCAACCCCTAAAGCACAAACCACTGACCCCATGCAAGGACCCGAAGTCCGAACCCTAGCAAATGGAACGTGGATCGCTCAAAATCACTACTTGGCCAATGAACACAAGACAGAACAAGCATAAATCCTCGATGAACCGGTTAGCCCTACATGACCTATCGACGCCCACACCTACACCTGAGTTGCTGGGGCTCCGCATCAAGTCTAAGGTTGCCAAGGCGATTGCCCAGCTGCTGGCACGTGCAGCGGCGGCCGCCACAGGGGTGCAGAGCCTCATCGAAGCAAGCGCGCTTAGCTTGGAAGAGGTCATCTTTTGACAGAAGGTCGCTCAAAGCTACCCGAAGCCCTGAAACCGCTAGAAAGATTGTTCAAAGCTATTGCAAGGGCCTGCACAAGTTTGATTAGGTTCCAGGTCTCGCTTGAAAAGTGAACATGTAACTCCGAACAAGGCCAGAGCTGCAAGAAACCCTGCAATTCTTGCGCGCAAACCTTAGCTCTAGGCACAGGAGAGTTCACTTCCTTCATCGCAATTCTGGCTGATCTGGCTCCACTAAGTCTCTCGCCTCAACCTACACGGGACATCCTCATAGGTCCTGAACGCGGCTTTCCAAAGCTTAACCTTAAAGCCTAGGCGCCGAACCCTAAACCTTTTACCCCAGACCATGTGGTTTCTACCGATGAAACACGGAAGGAGAAAAGACGCCGGCCCGAGGCCGGTCAAACTACACTGCCAAAACCCAGGCCAGTTTGTGCTGTAAGTTTTGTGAAGACCCTTCAACAGAACTGAAAGATGTCCTACAAACACAAAACATCAAGGCAACTGCAACCTGTATTTGCGGATACAATGGGCTCTCCCAATAAAATCGTGTTCCTCCTACGCACCCGTAACTATTAATCCTGACCTGGAAGTCGAACAACTCAAGCCCAAAACCTCACACCGTAGACCGTAAAACCTTGCACGGAGGCGCAACGACAGAAGTGCCTTGAGGTAGGTGGAAGCACTTCCATCGCTTTTTGGAAAATTGACAGCGCTCGCAGCCACGCGCTAGCCTTCACACCAAAAGAGAAAGATGACATGGAAGGGATACTTACGATGTTCACAGTGTAAAGGAACGTAATGGTTTGCGGAGCTAGTAAGAAAAACCGTAAGCTAAGCCTTCAAGCTTCAGCCCTAAAATCCTAACTGCAGATCCCATGCCCAATCGACTTAAAGGCCTGAACGCCAAGCCCTGAACCAGAGACTACGTGCCGAATCAAAGGGCAAACGACCCCAAGGCTTGACAGGAAGCCCAGTCTCCCTACTTCGGTTTTTCGGGCTTCAGGCGATGCTACACACTACACACATGCATGACTTCTTACTCGAAGGCCAGCATTCCCAATGTAGGCGGTGTGTAGTGGCATGCAAGCTTTTTCATATGAGCCGCACCTTGAAAAAGGAACTACTAGACACGTCCATCTCTTCACGCTCCTTCCCTACGACGCGCTAGCGGGTCGAACTTTACTTAAGAAGGTCGGCTGCCTGAAATCGTCTGCACAGGCATGTAGGGGCGATAGGGGCTGGAGAATTCAGATGTTGATGTTGGGCAGAGGGTTCAGGATTTGCGATTTAGGGTGGGCTTCGCAAGTCCGAGTTGGAATGGCACTGATGTCAATTATAAACAGCTGAAAACCCAAAGCCTCTATCCAAGCCCACCCAAAACTGCATCCCTTGGGGCTCCAGTGAGCATTGATCTACTCTACACCCGCACCCCTGGAATTTGCCTTCCCCCTGACCTTCACGTAGCTAGGAATTATACTACATATCCTCAATGCGCCTATCTGAACCCATAGTGCAATTAATCGGCAACTCCAGGGCTCTCCTAACCCCAGTCCTCACTGCTCACTGGACTAGAACTGTCTACAGCTTAGAGGTTCTGCCCACTTGGAGCCTCAGGCCCCAACCCTACACCCCCGATCCCAAGCTAAGCTTCTGGCTTTGTCCAGCGCGGTCAAAGTCACCCCGTAGTTGGCCTCTCTCCACTGTTGCGGGCTCAAGGTTGAAGGTTCTGAGCTTACTGCAGGCTGAGGACAAACCCAAACTAAACACAAGCCCAAACCCTTCAACCCTGAACCTAAATCGCCGTCGAACTCTTTGAAATCGGTGGCCCGTCATGGGGAAGTTAACAGCCGGAACCGTGACCTCTCAGATCCTTCGTATAAGCCTAACTTATTGTAGGAGCCTCACTGACATCAATGGGGTCCGGAGTGATGGTATATCATACTTGTAGGAAGATGGGAGGCAGCGAGTGTTCCTAGTTCAGAAAGTGTCATTATTCCGAACTGTTCCCCATCAACAAAAAATACAAGTTTCCAGATAAGATTCCCAACTTTTCACCTGCAAAGTCCTTCAATCCATCAACTCAGCTGGCGAAGTAATCGCAAAATGCAAGGCCTAAAGCCTCAACCTAAGATTTGTGGCAAGGATGCTCAACGTTGACACCTTACAGTTGGGGAGTCCAAGGCTTCGCAGTTGGAAGTTGATCAAGCGTCCTGGGCTCGTTCTTCTCGGTCCGTAAAGCAGGGTACATAGTCTTTGACCTGGATTTCGAGAAACCGCGTTGGGAGCGCATTTTAGACAAGTCTATTCTTTTATGGTGTGGTAGACCGGATATGGGCTTCATGGAATTCATCGCCAAACCCACCGCGCTCATCTCGAACATTTACTTGTTGTTAGTAGTCCTGCTACAAAAAAACGGCCCCGTTGGATTAGGGATTCAGACCCTTAGCGCTCCCTGAAACCCAAGCTACCGTACTGGTACCTCCGCTTCTCAACTACCCATCTGGGACTTTGAGGGAAAGCTGTGTCAGGACACATACTACATGGTAAACTAGATATAGACACCCGCAGTGCATAGCTGATTGTCGAACTTTGTCGTTCACTGATGTGATGCGGCGCCTAGTCTTTATGGTGTCCCTCAAAAGACCATACTTTGACACACCCACACAGACACATGCCGTATGATTATCAATCTAGATCCCCTTGTAAAGCTACAGTCCGCCTCAGTAGGCTGCAGGTGTGCAGAAGGCATTGCGTGCAGCAGCGACAGAGTGGCTTCCCAACAGGTCGCTTCCTTGTGGAGTACTTGGGGGGCCACTGCTTGAGTCGATGTCGCTAGCAATCCACGTGGTATCTCTTTCCTCGATCCAGAAGGCTTTGGGGGTTTGGGTAGTTACTAACCTGCTGAGAAAACTGAAGTGAAAGGGCATTGGGCTGTTCTGGGGAGGTGTACGAATTTGGGAAGCTTTGAATTTTGGAATTGGGTGCATAAGAAAGCTTATGATCATGGGGGTTTGAGGGTGTGGACGAATGTTGTGGGATGTCTAGGTTTTAAGCGCCAATGCCTTCTATGGTTGAAAGTTTATGGCTGCAGTGAAGGCCATGGCGGAACCAACTGCTTGTCAAAGGGTGCTGTTGGGTCCATGAGCGTTTCGTGGCTTCCGGCCACAGAATTCAATCTCTACCCCGCAAAACAAGGAGATAATTCAACCTTTAGCCCGCAAAACAAACGGCTTCAGTATTGACCCAAAACCAGCTGAGGTTCTTGGCACGCGCTGGCTGCCGCGCCGAATGCAACAGCATCCGCCCTGCTTGCTGGAAAGTACACTAGAATTCCTCATTCAGGGTTTAGCGTTTCCGGGATTAGGGGCTTAGGAGTTGCAGCTCGGGCTTGCGGATTGGACTTTCAGGCTCTCATGAGTTTTGAAAGGACCCTCGTGCCGCTGATGAGGAGGATTTAGCAGTGTCTATTGCAACTTTAATGCCGCGCCTCTCGAAATATTATATATGTACACATGTATACACAAGACGCGCAGCTAGTTCTTTGTCCTTCTACTTAGGACCTATTTCAAGCTTCGATTCGTATGCGTGTGGCCCGTTTCGTTGCTCACCCTACAACATGATAGACACCATGCAGGCTCCCAAAATTAGAAATACCTTTTGCAGGGTCTGCATAATAAGGATTAAGTATTTTGGGGTCTGTACTACGGAGGCTACCGCAGCTCAGCAACCTGTGTATTTGGGCGTGAGTGTGATGCCGCAGGTCGGTGTCTTGGAGAAGTCTCACAAAGCTGGCAGAATCAGAAAACCTGACGTAAAGCCTCAAGCCCCGAGCATTAAGGTGTAGATACTTGAAGCCTGAACTTTTATCATCCCTTAATACCCAACACCCCAAATTCAGTGAAAAGAAACCCTCCATCCTAAATCCCGGATGCCCCGAGCTGAATTCTTGCCTCAATCGTCTATGCTGAAGCTCATCCAAGTAAGAGAGTGCTTGCTCCCAGCGCCTGCAGGGCATTGCACAAAGGATTCGACAGGACGAGGGATGAGAAACTAGTGTTTGCCGCTTATGCAAGCTGGATTGCATGTTGGGGGTTCAGAGATTGGTGTTTGGACAGTTCGAGATTGGGGCTTCGAGATTCCAAGGATTTAAGGGATGAGGGATTGATTAGGGGCTCGGCGTAGGCATTGTAGCAAAAGCCATCCTGAACATGTCCAGTAAAGCCGGAGGACAGAGAAGCCTGAGCCAAAAACTCCAAATCCCAAACCCTGATACCTAACCCTCACCCCTGAAACCTGTAAGCCCTGAACGCTGGTCCCTTAATCGCACTCTTTTAACGCTGAACTCGACCCGTCAAACTCTAGATGCTGATCGCCCTTACCATAAGCCCTGACCCCTACATACTGGACCTTAGGCCCTAAGGTTACCCCTTGACCGAGTAGTCTCTTAACCCTAGGTCTGAAGCCCTATGCAACCTGAAGCTGAGGGGCTTGGACTCACGACAGGCCACCATCGCAGCTGAGAAGGTCACGGCATCAATCCGGGCCTTCCTGGGTCTTTGGGGTATAAGGTCTGAAAGATCTTGGTTGCGATCTTACTATGTTGTAGGGTGGAGGGTGTAGAGGCTTAGGGTTGAACAGGGATTTTGGTTCACGCTTTGACGTGTAGGGCCGTGCATTGCGGATGATCAGTTTTTCCAAGGAGTACAGAATCATGAACAGGCAGGTGAGAATGTGAAATTCGATTCGGAGAAGGTCCCGTTAAGAGTAGGACTTGTGGACTAGCCAAAGCAAAATAAATGCGCACTGTAAAAGGGCACCAAAAGTAGGGCTTTGATGGGCTTTGCAAACCCTGCCCTGATAGACCCAATGATAGCCATGATATCCGCCCACGTCTAGATGTTGAAGGGCCATCAGAAGGGTAAACCAGTGTTTCCTTAGATCATATACAGCAGTACTTGAACGTTCATCCCTTCTCTGCAAGAAACATATAGCTCCCGAACCTTAAACCCGACACGACGTGCTGCTCTCGACCCATACAAGTAGCCATTGGGATCCCTGGTAATTACGCATTCTATTGGGACAGTGTCTAGAAACTTTGACAGCCTGGCTTCGGCTCAACATCATCTTTCCGGAGCTCCTCTTGCAGTTGGGGTTCGGGCTCTTTGGGTTTGAGATCTATAAGGGGTACGGTTTTCGGGTTTTTTCGGGTTCTGGTGACACGTGGGCTTGGGATACTATGTTGGGGGTACATGGGGACCAACGGTATGAGGCTTGTGGAATTAGGATTCAGAAGGTGTTTCAGCCCCGGTCTGCAGGTTGCAGTTCTCTGCCCAGCCCGCAGGGCCATTGCGTTCCCGTCTCTACAGTATGCGCTATTTGCGGTACAGCGTAGAACAATCTAATTGCTGCCCGCGGCCTTCACTGAGCCATACCACGAGAAGCCGAATGCGGAACTCTACCGTCACTGCACCAGTGAATCTTCTGAAGCTGCAGAGTTTGAGGCTTAAGCTTCATAAACTCCGAAATTCCTGCAGCCTGAACCTTCTGACCTCCAGTGTCTAAGGATCCTCTGAACCCATTAATTGATATCTCTGCCGGTGAAGCCGATGCATTCCCCCTACCCCGACGGATTAAGAATTGAACATGTGAACCATTATGCTGGCGGCATCCCAGCTTCTTCACATTATTTCTGCTCTAGGACTCTAGGAAGATATCTTAAAACCTACGCCCT